ATGTATTTACTTTATTCATTATTCCTTAACACTAAAAAGGTAAAATGTCTACTATTGTGAACTGTTCAAAATGCCCACCATCAACAATGATGCTCTGCTGACAGTGAGGTATGGTAGACAGGTAATCTTGTAGGCATAATACTGGAGAAACAGACATACAGACAAATTCACTCTCAAGTGTTCAGGTCCTCCAGTGGGCTTTCTGGCACACAGGCACGCACTTCCCCATAAGTAAAAGTCTAGTTGCCATAGGTTAGGAAATCAGGGTAGATGTTTGAAATTTCTGCTACACCCTATATTCCAAGTAAATGGGTATGTAAAAAACTTCACACTATTCCAGTAATGTGATGAAATTGTACCTTGCCGAAAGTAAGCATTCTTTGGTGTATAAGGGGCAGTCAAGTGAAAACGGGTCACCATGCATAACTTACACGGCGCCCAATTTGGTAACACTGGAATTTGCTTACGGTTCAAACATCCAGTGGGGACTCGGGAAAGCATAATGACAACGTGATTTTGGTTTTTACCATCATGTTTTCACCAGCTGTGGGGCCCAGGGCAGCTTCCTATAAAATGGGAAATAACAGGGGTTCTTTCCTGAGTGGTTAAGCAGGCACAGCATAAGAAGGATCACTCATCTCCATCTAATCTCAAAGTCAAGAATGAGTGAAGTTTTTCTTCCACTCCCCTCCTTCAATTTCTTTATGATATGAAGCTTATGCGCAATGACCGCTTTCCCATTATCATAACTACATTGTGACAATATGAAGTAGTAACTGAAATAGATCTTATAATTACTGCTTTTCCATGAACTGGTCAGAGATATGAGCTACTAAAATAAAGTACAAGAAACGAAGAAGATGTAAGGATAATATTAAGATGATCGGAGAAATGCCAATACGTTGAGGCAATCAGAGATGGGTGGAACTGGCTCAGGTTCATGTCCAACAGAATATTTTGGTATTAACATACTGAACTTCATATCCTACAGTCAGAAATCTGGCATGTTTTGAGAGAGGGGTCAATTTTAAAAAATATGGTATAAAATAATAATTTTGTTTCTGCTTTGGTAATTAACAAAACTTTATTTTTAAACAATAAATGCACAGACGTGCTTCTGGGACCACTGTGAGAACTGTTATATTGAACGACAGAAAACTATGCCCAAGATATGTATACATGTACAATGCAGCTTTCATGCCATTATTTTATTAACATTAAAGAAATTGAAAACTAAGAAATTCACCATCTTTCCAGGATGACGTTATGCTACTGGTACCTGATTCATCTTCTTCTAAATTGACAGATCTCAAGATTTCATCAATGACTCTCTCTGGGTCCACTCTTGTCGCTTCCAAACATTTCCGTCGGCCCCCCTCTTTGTATGCTTTCTTGCATCTCTCTAGAGCTGCCTCTGCTCGGTCAAGTGACCCAGTCTCACTTAATCCTGATCCAGAACTTGGATTTCTAGAACAATGAACACAAATCTCTAACAGCTGAACACCTGAATACTAGCCACACCTATTAATAGTGCTGCTCATTTCACAACTGTACAAATGATAGTAGCATCCGTACAACACAAAGAAAGTAAATGCTTCTTCTTTACTTTCAACAATATCATAAAATCACCATTCTGATAACATACAATGCAATACTTCTGTGGGATATCATATTAAGAGACAACCACTACTTGAACGGTCCTATAGTATTATTACAGTTGCACCATATACACAGACGAACTTGAGTTTGAAGAATTGAAGAACAATAATAACAATAATGAACACATTGAACCAGAATTGTAGAACTGTAGAATATAGAACTGTGACTGTAACTGTATCTTCCCGTGTAACCTACAGTCGGACATATAGAAAACCAGTCAGTCTGTATTATTGTGGGTTTTGCCTAGCAACCACTGTTTACTCGTCGTTGCTAAGCAATGAAGCTTGCGTTTTCACACTTGCTTGAATGTGGGCAGTTCCCACATCATGGTACGACATGCGGAAACGAGGTTGTGGTTTCGTCGGCTGCTGGTTTGAAGGTCTTGGTGGTGGTCCCACGGCCTCTCTCGTTTAACATGTAGGCAGGTTTGACCCTAACGGTTGACATGGTGACAATCCTGTCGCGCACAGGGATTTGCATTGTCTTGTCCTTCCGTGATAGTACGTGGTAGGGGCCGCTGTAGGGGTGCTCCAATGCTTTGCGACTTTTGTCCTGCCAGAGGAAGACATGCGTGCATTTCTTGAGATCACCGTGCACGAATATAGCCGGAGAGGCATGGCGTGTTGCTGGAATTGGTCTGAGGAGGGCCATATATTGGCGAAGTTGGGTGATTTGGTGCGCTGGATCCACTGGGTTGGCAGTCGGAGTTAGCTGCGCTCCTGGTATTCTTAGTAGCTCGCCGTACACGAGCTCAGTTACTGATTCCTGCAGGTCCTCTTTGAATGCTGTGCGGATTCCGAGGAGAACCGGGGGTAGGGGTTCTGTCCAGTGTTGGTCTGCGTGGGAAAGGATGGCTGCCTTTAGTGCTCGGTGGAAACGTTCCACGACTCCGTTAGCCGCTGGGTGGTGAACAGTTGTTCGGGAGACTTGAATGCCATAGAGCTTGGCCAGGGAGTGGAAGATTAGAGATTCAAACTGACGTCCCTTGTCGGTGGTAATGGTCTGTGGGCAACCGAAGCGGGATATCCAGCCGGTCAGAAGGGCTTGTGCCACTGTGTCGGCTGTGATGTCCGGGATGGGGATGTCTTCTGGCCAACGGGTGAAACGGTCGACTGCAGTGAGGCAGTATATGTCGCCTCCTGACGTCGGAAGGGGTCCAACAAGGTCTATGTGGACGTGAAGAAATTTGGCTACCGGCGGTGTAAAGTCGCCCAATGGAGTCGCTGTGTGACAGGAGACTTTGGAGCTCTGGCAGGATTGGCAAGCACGTGCCAAGGTGCGGCAATCATTCTGCACGCCTGGTCATACGAAATGCTGTGCGACTAGTTTTGCCGTTGCTTTGGTCCCTGGGTGCGACAGATCATGGACGGACTGGAACACTTCGAACCGTAGGGGGAGCTGGGATGTACGGCCGAGGTTACCCGGCAGAGGTATCGCAGTAGATGGACAACGTGGGACCGGCGATTCGTAGCTTTTCGAGCCGCAAAGCAGTGTTTGACCGCCGAAGTGATTGAAGTTTCTCGTCGCTGTCCTGCGATGCGGCCAATGCGTCGTAGGATCGTGGCACAGTGACGGACTCGACGTGGGAGAGCGCATCGGCAACAAGGTTGCCCTGTCCCGAGATATTTCGGATGTCGGTCGTGAATTTTGTTATGAAATCCAGGTGGTTGAATTGCCTTGGTGAGCATTTGTTCCTTTTCTGCTGGAAAGCGTAGGTAACAGTTTTGTGTGGTCTGTGAAGATGATGATGTGTGGCGCTTCAAGCAAGTGGCGAAAGTGCTTTACGGCCCCATAGAAGGCCAGCAGCTCACGGTCATACGCACTGTATTTTTGCTGGGTCAGGTTGAGTTCCCTTGAGAAGAATGCCAGGGGCTGCCAGGCGTTTTTCACACATTGCTGTAGCACGTCACCCATGGCGGACGTGGAGGCATCTGTGACGAGTGCAAGTGGCGCGGATGGATCGGGGTGAGCCAGTAGTGTGGCGCGGGACAAACTCGCCTTGCACTCTTCGAAGGTCCTGTGGAGTTCCGGTGTCCAAGTGATGGGGTGGGAGCCCTTGACACTGGGTTTTGAAATGACGTCGTGCAGTGGTGCCTGGTTTGCTGTCGCGTAGGGCAGAAATCGCCTGTAGTAGTTCGGCATGCCCAGGATACGGCGGAGCTGACTGGCGGTATTGGGATGTTGACATTCCTGAAGGTGAGTCACTCGTTCTTCCAGCGGTTTGGAGCCTTCGGCGGTCACCTTATAACCGAGGAAGGTGATCTCAAGTACTCGGAAGAAGCACTTGACCGTGTTGATGAGGATCCCATACTTCTGCAGTCGGTCGAAAAGTGCCCGTAGGTGTTGCTTGTGTCCTCTAGAGACCGGGAGAAGATGATATCATCCAGGTAAGCGAAACAGAAGTCGAGTCCCCGCAGAATGTCGTCCATGAAGCGTTTGAAGGACTGTGCGGCGTTGCGCAGGCCGAAGTACATGAAGGAGGACTCGAATAGGCCGAAAGGAGTGGTGATGGCCTTCGGGATGGAAGGGAATTTGGTTGTAGGCTCTCACCAGGTGGATCTTGGAGAAGAGGGAACAACCGAAAAGCTGGTGGGAGTAGTGGTGGATATGCCGAACGGGGTAGCCGTCGGGGATGGTCGGGGCGTTTAAAGCTCTGTAGTCGCCACACGGACACCAACCGTTGTCCTTATTGGGTACAATGTGTAGTGCAGAGGTCCATGAAATCTTTGATCGACGAGATGTACCATCCCGCAACATGGCGTCGAACTCAGCTTTCTCGATAGCGAGTCGGTCCAGTGCCAGTCGCCGTGGTCGGCAGGTTACTGGTAGTCCAGGTACAGTCCTGATGTGTTGGACGGTGTTGTGTCGGATCACGCGCTGGACTCAAGCTGGTCGGGTCAGGTCCGGGAATTCTGTGAGGAGGCTGTCGATCGGTGTGTTGCTGCTGATTGTCTTTACACTGGGCATCAGTGCGTTGGCCCCTGAGCCCGGGACTGACAGCGCCGTGACCCCGTCTATGATGCGGTTGTTTCGACAGTCCACCAGGGGACCGAAATGCGACAGGAAGTCCTCGCCGATGACAGGATGCGGGACGTCGGCCACCACGAAGCGCCACGTGAATTCTCGACGTAGGCTCAAGTTAAGGCTGAGAGGCAGCCATCCGTATGTGTGGATGGTAGTGCCATTAGCAGCACACAGGTCATAGTTGGTACGTTCCATGCGTCGATGGACGAGGTCCGAACTCGTGTCGATTAGGAACCGTCGTTTGCTGACTCTGTCTGTTATGAAGAGGGGGCCTGTTATCGTAGCGCAGACATGTGCCACCGACGATGTTCGCTGCGTCAGGTTCCCTGTTGGCGGTAGGAGCAGGGCGGAGTACAGTTTTGTGCCCTAGCGACGAAGCTGTGGTGGTGCCAGCAAATACTGAATGTGGTGTCGCCCCGGGAAGGGGATCTGCTGCCGGGCCGGCGATTGTTGAAGGCGGGGCGGAAACCCTTTGGACCGGAGCCTCTGTCTCTCCGTTTGTTGTCGGACTTCCTGAAGCGGGGTTGGAGGTGGTCCTGTTCGGTGCTGAGTGCAGCCACTTGGCGGGAGAGTTCAGCGATCTCCTGCCGAAGTGCGCCGATGTCCGTGGGTTTATCAACGCATGCGAGCGCTGGCTGGACTTCGACCTCGGAGATGCGGCCCGCACAGAGGGCCGCGGCCTCCAAGATGCTCTCGTTCTGGCCGGCGAGGAAGCTCTGCACGTTGCGGTGTAGCCGGCTGATCCAGACGCTTCGGATGACGTTATCAGACACGTCTGGTGAGAGACTTTTGAGGTACCTCGATTTCTTCGACCGTGAGAAGTTGCCGGAACGCTGCTCTGGCGATGAGGATAGCCGCCTCACAAGCTCGGTCCTCAGTAAGGCGTAGGGCCCTCGTTCGTGTGGAGAGGTGATGATATCCTCCACCTCCGTGGCGTATCGGTAGTCCAGATGTGAGATGACGTGGCAGAACTTGATCCGCTCGTTGGTAATGCCGGCCAAGATGAATTGCGCCTCGGCCTGGGCGAACCACATGGCTGGTCTATCGGGCCAGAACGGCGGGAACCGCACGGCCATTCTGGGCAATTCTGCCGATGATCTGTCTGCGGTTTCCATGTTCAGTCGGGGTCACAAATGTGGGATGTCATATGATGAGACAACCACTAGTTGAACGGTCCTATAGTATTTCTAATGTTATATTTTAGCGTCCTGTTGCACTGATTTAGGTCCATGATTTATTTTATCCGTCTTCTAGTGCATACATTTATCTATCCCCTCCTCTCACTCGCACTACATGTTTCGGCACAAAAGCGCCATCTTCAGGTGCTGATCCAATCCACGACAAACTAGTTCGCTGCATACCTTGTCTATACATACTAAAATAACCAAAATATATATTTATCATATATACTGATAACACTTGACATTTATCAGTATATATGATAAATATATATTTTGGTTATTTTAGTATTTATAGAGAGGGCGTGCAGTGAACTAGTTTGTCGTGGATTGGATCAGCACCTGAAGATGGCGCTTTTGTGCCGAAACATGTAGTGCGAGTGAGAGGAGGGGATAGATAAATGTATGCACTAGAAGACGGATAAAATAAATCATGGACCTACAGTATTTATTACAGTTGCACCATATACACAGACGAACTTGCGTTTGAAGAATTGAATAATAATAATAATAATTCAATTCAATTCAATTCTTTATTATTAATGTGCCGAGTCAACAGCCGCAAGGCCAATTACAGACTCAGCACAGTGTAGATGACTGAATTACATTACATACAAACTTATTAAAAGTCAAATACAAATTACAGTTAAGTAATTGGAACAAATAATAATGAATAAAAGTAAAAGTAAACAAACAAATAAGTGATAATTATAATTATAATAATAATAATAAACACACTGAACCAGAATTGTAGAACTGTAGAATCTAGAACTGTGACTGTATCTGTATCTTCCTATGTAACCTAGGGTCGGGCACATAGAAAATCAGTCACTGTCCGTATTGTTGTGGGCTTTGCCTGCAACCGCTGTATACTCGTCGTTGCTAAGCAATGAAGCTTGCGTTCTCACACTTGCTTGAATGTGGGTAGTTCCCATACTTCCAAGCACTTCCAGAATAGTCCCAAATTAAGCCATATTTTCTGCTGCTTCAATAATCTGGGACAGGGAAAAAGAAAGGAAAGCATGCATGATCACTCGTAAGCCATCTCAATTTACTGCTTCTATTTTATGTTGTTTAATAAGACTTCATCTCTTTCAGTAACAACTAATAAATTGGATGAACATGAGATACACATTAGATATTGTAACATGTTGCGCAACGGAGAACCCCTCCCTACCCAGCAGCAACGTGGCAACTCAGGCCACAGGCGCGTGGCGGTAACGTAGCGCTCCCTCCCGCCCCTCCACGGTGACGTAACGCGCAACGCTACGTACCCGTAATCAACTTCCTACTGTGACGTGGCCCGCAACAGGCACCACTGCGGATATATAAGGGAACTGCACAGCAGCTACCAGTCAGTTATAACGTAACAGCCGCCGAGGCGAGTTGTACTGTGAGAGTCGCCGAGTCGACTTGTAATGTGACAGTCGCCGAGTGTGTTATCAACAGTTCTCCAGTCAGCCGACTACAGTTGATGTATAGCAGCCGTCGCGGAAAGATGAACCGGACGTGTGTGTGATTGTGTAATTGGGAGTGTGTGATACAGTGATACATAGCTCCCCTACTGTCAACGTGTAGACTACTGAACACAGAGTGAGCTGATTTGCGCATAGGGTTACAAATACTGAAACCCCGCAACAGTGTAAACAGATTAATGCGCTTAGGGTTATAAAGTGTGAAACCCCGCAACTGTGTGATAAGTAATTGTAGCCGTTACTTGTAGATTGTTGAATAAACCAATTAACCATCTCTACGGCTTCTTCAGTGTCTAAACATGTTACACTGGTGTCAGAAGTGGGATTTGTACTTACACACGTGACCGTGAGTAATAACTGAATTATTGTGCATCGAGTATTTTACTGCTACAAAATGTAGATGCAGCAGATGATGTAAATGCTGGCAAGGATGGACACCAGCATGAAAACCCATCAAGAAGGGATGAGAGCTGGCCAAGAAAAAACAAATATGATGCTGAAAGAGGCAGAAGCCAATAGAAAAGCCGACATGGAAAAGTTGGAGGCCGATAGGAAGAGAGACAAAGAAGATTTAATGGCGAAATTAGACGCCTACCAAGAAAAGGCGGCGGCCGATAGAAAGGCCGACAAGGAAGAGATGAAGGCCGAAATGCAATCTATGCGGTCAGAGTTGGAAGAGTTAATCCAACATAGAATTGAAAACAGTTTTGCGATCTTTGAACACGACAAACGGATTCTACAGTCGGAGCTACCTGAGAATATTGAAGTGTCCCTCTGCGCGCGAACAACACAACTAAAGGAAGACCTAACGAAGGACTACAATGAAACTTGCGCAGCAATTGAGGAGGCCAAACCCGAGTTCCGGGCACTGTTGGACGAGACGAGACAGACGAAGGACGAGTGGGGAAATACATCAAAAATCGTCGCGAGCACGGCTCAGCCACCGACGTTCAACGGAAATTCGACGTGGAGCGTGTTCCGGCGACAATTCGAGACCGTAGCAGAACACAACCAATGGACGGACAGGGAAAAATTAACATACCTCATCACCGCTCTGAAGGGCCGGGCGGCAGAAGTGCTACCTGGCATTCCGACAAATACAACTTATGAGGAAACGCTTCAGGTACTAGAGGACCGTTTCGGTGACCAACACTTTGCAGCTGCCAATTAAGAACAAGGACCCAGAAACCTGGAGAATCCCTGCAAGACTTTGCCCCGGCCATTGAACTGCTTTCCCATCGTGCCTACACCAATCTACCTGCAGCCGACATAGGAAGAGAGGCAGCAACAGCCTTCGTATACGGAATACGAGATGCCGATATAAAGATCCAGCTTCTGCTAGGAGGTGAGAAGAAGGTAAACGAGGCCCTCCGACCAGCACTAGAGCTGCAAGTGGTACAGATAGCTGTTAGACCTCACGAAGGTAGCACCAAGACATATCGGAAGTACCGATCGTCCACCACCCAACGAGGAGACTGAAGGCAATCAGGGTGCTGGAGTTGTGGAAAACTGGGCCACTTCACGAATAACTGCCCCTACGAAAGGAAGGCTAATAATGAAATGCGCCGAGAACGTGAAGATAGACCAGGCAGATACACACGGGAATTGCCAAGAAGGCACGACGAACACACGAACAGGAAGGGTACCCAACCGTCGGGAAATGAGCGACAGCCGGCGGAGAAGGGCGAACGCCGGCATATGCATTAAGGCCCCCACACTACGCACTCACCGTCAAAAGGGTGAATGCCAACCACAATGAGATGACGGCCTGTCAAGAGGTAGAGGCACGTCTACAAGAAGGAAAGCCGGCCTCAGTGGACACGAAACCTGCGGCGGCACAATAAAAGGAGGTTCCCATAGTAATACCGGTCGGAGTGACTATGGCCTGCCAAGAAATGGAAGCACGTCCAGAAGAAGAAAAGCCGGCCTCAGCGAACAGGAAACCTGAGGCGGCAGGGTTACTAGAGGTACCCGTACAAGACGCCGAAGTAATGCCGGTCGGAGAACCGAAGAAGAAAAGGCGTAAGGACCGAAAGAAGCGGAATATAAACAATTCGACGCGGGAAAAGAGTGGACCCCAGAAGAAGTTGGCTGCCCCCTGTAGGAAGACATCCCGTCGCGCGACAGTGGCACGACGTTGGAGAAATGCCTTCAAGAAGGAAACTCCCCAAGGGACCTTCGGATGCCGGAAAGAGGACTTGGAGCCACGGTCTCGTGTCTGCAAGCGGCTTGAAGTCCAGGAGGAACAACGACGTCAGCGAGTGCAAGCAACGCATCAAGAGCTGTTACGTCGACATAAGGAACCTCCGAAGAACGAAATGATCAAGGATTGGACCTTGTGGAAGGGACGACCCCCTCCAAAACGAAAAAAGAAACAGGGATAAGAAGAGGAGCCGGTAAAATAGAAGAACCGGCCTCCCCAGAGAGAGTGAATGTGCCATGGGAGAAAGTGATGGATGAATGGGACACGACTGGAACTTCTGACACCAGTGTAACGTGTTTAGACACTGAAGAAGCCGTAGAGATGGTTAATTGGTTCATTCAACAATCTACAAGTAACGGCTACAATTACTTATCACACAGTTGCGGGGTTTCACACTTTATAACCCTAATCGCATTAATCTGTTTACACTGTTGCGGGGTTTCAGTATTTGTAACCCTATGCGCAAATCAGCTCACTCTGTGTTCAGTAGTCTACACGTTGACAGTAGGGGAGCTATGTATCACTGTATCACACACTCCCAATTACACAATCACACACACGTCCGGTTCTTCTTTCCGCGACGGCTGCTATACATCAACTGTAGTCGGCTGACTGGAGAACTGTTGATAACACACTCGGCGACTGTCACATTACAAGTCGACTCGGCGACTGTCACAGTACAACTCGACTCGGCGGCTGTTACGTTACAACTGACTGGTAGCTGCTGTGCAGTTCCCTTATATATCCGCAGTGGTGCCTGTTGCGGGCCACGTCACAGTAGGAAGTTGATTACGGGTACGTAGCGTTGCGCGTTACGTCACCGTGGAGGGGCGGGAGGGAGCGCTACGTTACCGCCACGCGCCTGTGGCCTGAGTTGCCACGTTGCTGCTGGGTAGGGAGGAGTTCTCCGTTGCGCAACATGTTACACTATGTTGCAAAAAAAATCAGTACAATTTAACTTCACACTGCAACAGTTTCTAGTTTGAAACTGTTTCAACTAACTACTTCTTGAAGTTTAGACCTTCTTCAGAAGTTGACTGTTATCCAACCAAATTTTTTATGAATTTCTCACCACTCTCATGCGTATTGCATGCCCCAATAGTCTAATTCTCTACGATTTCATCTCCTTAATAATATTTAGCAAAGAGCATAAATTAGAAAACTGCTCATTATGTAACACTTTCCACCCACTTATTATTTCCTCTCTTTTAGGGGTTCAT